AAAAAAATGCCGGGGACAAAATTGTCCAAGGGGGACGGTGAATAGTAAATGAGTTGTATTTTGATAAATGGTAAAAAGTATGGTGACTGCAAAATTCAAACTACTTCCCATGTTTCTGTTTTATATTAAAATTAACACTTATATGTACATGATTGATAATGAATAATAATTGGAGTAGTAGTACCCATTTTGCTAGCTATTCTCAAAATAGTACTTTGTAAATTATAGCCAATGGACCACAATACAATAAACAAGACTTGGGCTGGAATTTTTTTTGAAAGGGGTATGGAATCCAGACTGTAAAGTGAAGCAAGATATAATTGTTGATCATGGAGGTTCATGCAGCTGAGATTCTCTCTTCTGGCATAATTTGTGTAAACAGTACTAATGCATCATAAGAAGCATATGATTTGCAAACTGGAATTCTAAAAGTGACTCTCTCTCTCTCTCTCTCTCAAAATCCATTAGTTACTTTAATTCTTGGTTGCCCTGTCACTTGTCTAGTCTTGAAGTTCAAACTGTTACCTGATATAAATGACCCTGAGGAGTGAGAATTGTGAGGAAGGAAAATTTTTAAATTCAAATCTATATATATATATAATTGTTGGCAACCCTCATTTAATTTTATTCAGCATTCAATTAATAATAATATGAGTTCATTTAATAAAAATAGGTTGCATTTAATAAAACTTTTTATGACCTTCATTCAAAAACCGTTACAATATTTTTTTTCTTTTAATTTCTTCCATACAACCACCCACAAAATTTTCACTATATTCTAGATTTGTAACGACTGCATGCTATTGTCATTTTTTATTCAAATTTTTTTACTATATTCTAGATTTGTAACGGCTGCATGCTATTACCATTTTTTATTTCTTTATATTTAGAAAATATAATTGTTGCATGGTTACAAAATATTGTTTAAACCCTTATATTTGAATGGTTAAAAATATTTTTTTTAATTTGTATGTTGACTATTCACATGCAAAATGAGCATTAAGTATTGATATGCTATAGATACAACGCAAAATATATATAAGAAAAGTCATCTTTTGTAATATAGATCTTTACACTAGCTCATTCAAATTCAAAATTTTCATGCAAGATTGTACACTATATTAGTTGAATTTAATGAAAAATAATTATCCATTTTATTTTATATAATAAATATAGTGATGAATTTAAATATTTTTATAATGTTCATTTTTACTAATGACATAGTTTTTAAAATGTGATACTACTATTTAACTTATAGTTTTACAATTATACACATACACGTAACCTATATGTTATAATAATTTAAATTTCTGTGCATGTGTACAAGATCAAATACTAGTACAGAGAAAGGTTGCTAAACAAAGGAAATTATGATTGACAAACAATAGTTACTGTGCTACGGTTCAAAGTTGTGACATTTATTACTATACTGTTGAAAGCTTTGAAGTCATCATTTAAAATATTCTTGAAAAATATAAGTTGCATTCCAACAGTCAGGAATGTTCAAAATTTCAAATCTAAGGTGAAGGAAGATGAATTGACAATAGCAAGAATCTCATGATCCAATCTGACATTACAAACTAAAGTTCAATTACATTACATCACTAAGGACCAAACAAGCAGATAAAAAAGCATTTGTCCTCAAACCAAAACTCAAATTTATAATAATGTAAAATTACCCCAACTCTTCTACAAATTATAATATAAATGGGAAACACCAAAATATTATATAAGAAATGAATATTTTGACAGAATCATATTCTCTGCATGTCCAATTTTCAAATCTTAATACGACTCCAGAGAGGAGAAAAAGAAACAAGAAAATAAATAAGAAAAAAAACCAAATGAGAAGCATCATCATCATCAAATCATGTATATATATATATATATATAAGATCTCCTTCCAGCAGGTGTGTGTGGTTTTTAGAAGCACTTTCTGTGAACAATCGAAGGCCCGGACTCATCATACTCGGCTTTCGCTATCCACATCTGCGACAAAAAGGTTAACGACTATCAGTCAAACTGAATTCTTGAAAAACATTACAGTATCCCCAAATTTAATCAAGATTAAAGAGAAGAAAAAAACATATATACCTGCTGGAAAGTGCTGAGGGAAGCCAAAATGGAGCCTCCGATCCAGACACTGTACTTCCTCTCGGGTGGGGCCACCACCTTAATCTTCATGCTGCTTGGAGCAAGGGCCGTGATCTCTTTGCTCATCCGGTCAGCAATGCCGGGGAACATGGTGGTCCCACCACTCAGCACAATGTTCCCGTACAAATCCTTCCTAATATCCACGTCACACTTCATAATCGAGTTATAGGTAGTCTCGTGAATGCCAGCAGCTTCCATCCCGATCATGGATGGCTGGAAAAGGACCTCCGGGCACCTGAATCGTTCGGCTCCAATAGTGATGACCTGTCCATCGGGCAATTCATAATTCTTTTCGACAGCCGAGCTCGTTTTTGCCGTTTCCAGCTCTTGTTCGTAGTCTAGGGCAATGTAGGCGAGTTTTTCTTTGATGTCCCTCACGATTTCGCGCTCGGCTGTGGTGGTGAAGGAGTAGCCTCTCTCAGTGAGTATCTTCATCAGATGGTCTGTGAGGTCACGGCCAGCAAGGTCGAGACGAAGGATTGCGTGTGGTAGGGCGTACCCTTCGTAGATGGGGACTGTGTGGCTGACACCATCACCCGAGTCCAGTACAATACCTGCCAAAACAAGTGAATTCATAAGTAGAGTAAATTAAATATGCTTGCAAAGGTGTACATACAAATTTTTTCGTGTAAATAAGCGAAACACCAAAAAATGAACAAATGTCATATCCATTTTTTTTTCTTTTCCGACAATTACCAGTTGTACGGCCGCTGGCATAAAGAGAGAGAACAGCCTGGATGGCGACATACATGGCCGGAGAGTTAAATGTCTCAAACATGATTTGAGTCATCTTTTCACGATTGGCCTTTGGGTTAAGAGGAGCTTCAGTCAAAAGGACGGGGTGCTCCTCAGGGGCAACACGAAGCTCGTTGTAGAAGGTATGATGCCAAATCTTCTCCATGTCATCCCAGTTGCTCACAATTCCGTGCTCAATCGGGTACTTTAGAGTCAAGATACCTCTCTTGGATTGGGCCTCATCACCCACATAGGCATCTTTTTGGCCCATGCCAACCATCACACCAGTGTGACGAGGGCGGCCCACTATGCTGGGGAAGACAGCCCTAGGAGCATCATCTCCAGCAAATCCAGCCTGGTTATTTCAATTGTTGTCATCAAATTAGAAACCAAATAAATTGTGTACAAACTGAAGTTGCCTGACCGACTGCATAGATTTTTTGAAGGGCATGATTTTTTTGCCACAATATCGGATTAATTGTGAACAAAATTACAAACACATTATTCACTTTCACCCATTGCCATTTTTCAATTATCAATTACATCCAACTAAAATTTCACTAAGAAGAAGAGATATCTGTTCACAATGTTATATCACAATCAAGATGTTAAATATCTCTTGCATGTACAATTAATCAATCATATCCACCTACTAGTTTACAAGAAAAAAACTAATAAAATTCACTTCCATCATGTCATTTTCCACCTAAACCGAATCAGGCAAACCAAAAGAATAGGAATCAAATGAAATGTCGATCAATTGCATCCGAAATACAAAGCATAAGACAAATATGTTCAACAAGGTATTATTTCATTATTTAATGCAAATTCTACCTTAACCATTCCAGTTCCGTTGTCACAAACAAGAGGCTGAATATCCTCGGCTTCTGCCATCTCTTAATGATCTGCAGAAAAAAAGAGGGAAAAAGTAAGTATCTTAAGTTGGCGGATCAAGATAAACGACAAGCTAGTAACCATATTAACACTATGATCTCTCTTATTCTCATTTCATCCTTTTTTTTTTGGGGCATATTAATAGGATAAAACAAAAGTAAAGACACACGTCTAAAGTTATTAGATCAAAATCATGCTCGAATTCGATCGAGAATATCAATCCGGATTCTAAAGGAACAGATTTGCCATTATCAGAAAATAGATCAAATAAAAGGCAGAAAATCATGCAGGACAACAGTTTTGAATTATATATACAAACGGTGATGATCACTCATTTCTGATAAATCCCCATATACGATTCACCTCTAAACGCTGCTGATACCCAACCTTAAATCCTTTTCATAGTTATATTTCAGATCTCGCATAAATAAAGAACACAAATTCCCAACAGCAAGCATACACTAACATCACCTGACCACTTCACCAAATTAAGTTATCGTTTAAACATCTTGAAATTGGGCATAATTGAATTGATCCATTTAATTTGAAGGACCCAAAAACCAGATTTACACGATGCATAAACAGAAAACATATGCGAACAAGAAAAACACAAACTTTATTTATCACAGATCAAGAGTATCAGAAACAACTAATAATTGCAGGAAAAAAAAAAGAAAAAAGAAAATGGAAAGCATTAAGAAGATAGAAAAAAACGAAATTTCAGCCAAAGATTGTACCTTTGTGGCCTTGGTGGAACTGGGTCTCCCACTTTCTCTGTTATTTTTTGTTGTTCACCCTCTTGCAGCGAGTGAAATGTGCCCTCTGTTCTGTCTTTTTGCCCCAACTGTGAGGTGCTCGCTCTCTTGTTTTAAAACAGGGCAAGTGAAATTCAGCCTCAAATGAGATATTCAGGTCAAATGAACCACAAAGTCGGGCTTTATAAAGATCCTGGCCGTTGGATTTGTATAATTTTGAATCTCGTGGGTTGTGGTGCCCACGACAGCACCAAATTGATATTTGATGGTGGGTATCACATAGCTGGCTGGCTTTTGCATGTACTTGGATGCAAGGACGGATATGCCCTCTTCTTTTGGAGGTCATTTATAATGGGAAAAAATCTTTTTCACCCTAATATAAAGATACATTAAGTTTTTCACACCGCCCCCTAACCATTTAATTTTTTCACCCCAAGAAGTGCGAAGATTATGCGAATGGACTGCATAACTGTCGCATATCAATTGCATAATGTCGCATATTCATCGCACAATGACTTCACACTTTTTTACTTTTTTTACCCCAAAAAGTGCGAAGAGATATGCGAATGCCTTCACAATTTTAACTTTCACACAATGTTATCGCGCAACTATCGCATATTCATTGCACAATGCCTTTCGCACTTTCTGGGATGAAAAAGTTAACTTATCTGCTGGCGGTATGAAAAACTTAATATACTTCCATAGTGAGATGAAAAAGACTATTTTCTCTTTATAATTTGGTGTGGTGAATAATAAAATAAATCAGATTTTGGGACTGCCTAATAATTTGAAATGAAAATATTTGAAGTATTGGATTTATGTAAAAGTTGAAACTTGTTCAAAATTACATCAATAATATTGTTGCACAAATGACAACTTTGACTACTAAAATGTAATGCTACATTACGGAAATGATCGCCTTTCTAATGTGGATGTGTTAAAATGTATTCACCAACCACGTGTCAAGATCTCGTGATTTTTGAAAAACATACAACAATGTTTATCTCATATTAGGTTAGTTGGTGGACATATTAGGAAGAAATGTATTGTATTGCAAAATTACATAATAAATGGAGCTTTCTTTATTTTTGTTTCAATATAAGACATAATATCAAATTTACTATTGCAAACGAAACGAAACGAACTGAATCGAACCGAACCGAGTATGGGTCGTTTGAGCTCAAGTTTGACTAATTTCGAGCTTGTTTGAGTTCGTTCGTTTACTGGTCGAGCCTAATTTTATGCTCGTTTTCGTTCATTTAGTTATTCGATAAGTTCGCGTTCGGCTCGTTTACTTAGCTAAACAAAATTATCTGAAATTTTTTAGCGTCCGATTAACTCGAATTGTTTGAATAGTTCAATTATCAAAATTAAGAAATGCTTATTATTATTATTATTAGTATTATTAAAAATTTTGTTGTTTGCGCACACTCATTTATCTTCGCGAACGTGTTCGTGTTTGTTCGAATAATAAACGAGTTGAATTATATGTTCGAGCTTGACTCGATTATTAAATGAATGAGCCCTAAACGAACATGAATGAGCTCGAACGAACTTTCATCCGTGAACGTTGGGTTCGTTTACAATGCTAATCAAATTCCATTATCCAAATCAATTACTCCCTCCTATTTTTTTTAAATGTCATTTTGGCTTTATCAACATTTAACTAAATAAATGTCGTTTTGGATCTTTTGTACATATTTTTCCATTATTACCATCATCTAGCTAATAAATTCACTACATCTTTTCATATTCACTATTCATCTTTTTACAAAACATCCATCTCTATCCTCATTAATGAGGGTTATTATTGGCCAAAAAAATTTTTTTAATTATTGTGCAACTTCTCAAAACACTTATTAAAAATAGGAGGGAGTATATGTAAACTTAGAAAAATCCACATTTTTTCTCCTCCTAAACAGTGGTCTTTGTGTCACCCAACAATAGAATAGAAGGTCCCCCCAAAAAAAAGATCAAATTTAGTCTACTTTTGTGATGTGCACCTTTATCTTTTTCTCTTTCATCTTCCTTTGTGTGTGGGTGCTGAATTGGTGGCGACCCAGCAATGTTATTTGCCTACATTATTTAAAAACGTAATAATTAAACAAATACGCAAAAGATAAAAGCTATTTCCACCTCACCATTTCTTTTTTCCAGCAGTGTCGAGGCGCTGGCGCCAACGTGCGCACGAGGTGACCACCTCAAAGACACGTGTCGGTTTCTATCCTCTTATGTGTAAGAGAATATCCAATGAAAAATTTTACATTTTGTGTTGTATGATATAAAAAAATGAAATTAAAAATTTATGTCTCTAATGGTTAGTGTTAATTATGGTATCATTTATTATGTGTAAAATTATAATTGGTTGAAGAAAAGAGATAAATTGAATAAATAAAATACTATGTAATAAAAGTTGTTTAGAAGAACTTCAACATCAAAAAGTCTTATAGACATTTTTCACGCCACATAAGTTTTTTTGTGCTATGTGGCAATAAAATAAAGTAATGAAAAGACCATTGGAAATGCTCTAATGAAATGTTACCGAATCCTCCGATCAACTTAACATGCATTGCACAACACTCAGGAAATATAGAGAATTTTCAGAATACTACAAAGAATCTCAAACAAAATACAAATAATAAAGGGTATTATGATTATCCAAGGAAAAATAAATTAGGAGATCCTTAGAATTTGTATAAATTAGATCCAGAGATTTTTTAGTGATTGAGAAATTTTCTTAAAAGATAAGATACAATGTGAATAAATATATTATTTTTTTCCTCATTTCTTTGCAGTGGTCCTCAACAAATGTATTTTTGGTCCTCAAAAAATACATCTTTTTTCTAGCATAAAGTAATCACATTCAGTTTTCTTTTATTTTTGTTGGAAAAAAAGTCAAATCTATGTTTTGTAAACTTAGTAGATAAGCTAACTTATAAGTTTTAAGTGAATTTCGAATTTATAGATGATCATTATAACTTATTGTTGAAAAATTAGTTTATATGATAAAATTGTTTGATAAAATTAGTTGTTAAACTAGCTGAAATAAAAATTTCAATTGACTTATTTGAAAGGCTATCTAAGAAAACTTATGAGATAAGTTCGAGATTTTTAAAAAGAGCTTGACATATCAAACCAAGCTTCTTTATATACAAAAAACTTTTAAATTAATCAAATAAACTATAAGTTAACTTATCTATAGTAATATAAAGAGGTTGTTGGAAAAATACTTTTATAGTAAGTTTGACTAAAAAAATAAATGTCTATTAGTGGAAATTTCGAAAAAAACACATGTACCAAAAAAATTGAGATTTTTATGGTAACAAATTTGGAGATTTTTATGGTAACAAATTTAATTGAGATATCCCAAAAAAATTGGAGATTTTTATGGTAACAAATTTGGAGATTATTATACCAAAATTTAATTCATTTTAAATATTAATCCATAGGAATCTACTTTTATTGATAACAAATTTGAAGATTGTTATGCCAAAAAATTGAGATTTTGAATTGAGATATTCCAACCATTAAGGATTTTTTTCCCATTCAAATTAATGTTGTAAATCAAACAAAAAATTATTCCAAAAATAATGGATGTTATACCACCACTACAAGAAATTGTCAAAATGCCAACAAAAATTGGAGATTTCTATGAGATTCTTATGATAACAAATTGGAGATTCTTATGCAAAAAAATCGAGATTTTGAATTGAGATATCCTAACGATTTCGGATTTTTTCCTCTTCAAATTCATATTGTAAATCAAACAAAAAATTATTCCGAGAATAATGGATGCTATACTAAATATTGATAAACTCCAATCCATAGGAGATTTTTATGAGTTTCTTATGGTAACAAATTGAAGATTCTTATGGTAACAAATTTGGAGATTCTTATACCAAAATTTAATTCATTTTAAATATTAATCCCATAGGAATCTATTTTTATTGGTAACAAATTTGAAGATTCTTATGCCAAAAAATTGAGATTTTGAATTGAGATATCTCAACAAATTTTTTGTTCCATTCAAATTAATGTTGTAAATCAAACAAAAATTATTCCAAGATATTGGATGTTATACTAAATTAATATCATTGGGCCCACACGTTAATATGATATTAATTAGATAGATAAATTACTTAAATCTTTCTTAACAAAATGCGTTCCAATATTGTTAACAAAGTTAATGGAATTTTGTTAACTAATTTGATAGGATTTTGGTAACCACGAGATTTTGTTAGCTTTTCATTGAAACACATATCTTCATTATTGATAAGGTTTGATAAGATTTTGTTTCCAATTTTTTTTTGTTTTTTTTCCTCTCTCGAAAATTTGATAAAGTTTGATAAGATTTTGTTTCCTGTTTTGTTTTCTCTCTCTCGAAAATTTGAGTTGTGGATTTGAAAAAAAAAATAAATAAATAAAATAAACATATCATATTGATAAAATTTTAGTGTGGGCATAAAAATCAATTTTGATTTGACTGAACTTTGTTTCATATAAACCTAAGAGAATCAGACGTTAGAAAAAACAAAATACTAATAGTAAATAATCATACCATATTTGTAAGGTTTGATTCGGAATATTGGGGCATGAAATCAATTATGATTTGATCACATTTTGTTTTATAAAAGTTATCTTAGAAAATTTTACATGTTTCAAAAAATTAAAGATTATAACTTCGTAAATTAAAGTTTTGAATTTGTCCAAATAAATAGGAAAATATCAAAATAAAAATATTATTTTTCAATCTATCCAAAAAGTCTTACCAAATTTCATTGTAACAAACTCCATTATTTTTGGCTACATAATCTTCTAAATATTCGTTCGTCCCTCACAAGTGAATCAAGTTCCACATTTTTTTTTTATTTTTTTAACAAAACCGATAACACATATTTTTAGAAGTCAATCATAATCATAATAAAAAATAATCGGATCGGATCATATTAAATACTTTACGTAAATATTTTTTTATTTCCCAGACATATGGCACACACACATGACTATATAAACATCACCAACATTGAACAAAAAGTATTCGACATCCAATATATCCCACAAAACTATTTCTTTTACAAGCTTTTACATCACCATAGAAAATGGCTTCGGATTTTGGAGTAATCAAGGATATCAAAGATCCAATAAGCCACCAATCAAGCTACGCATAAGTAGGATGTTCCAACGAGTTGATGACGTATGCAATTACCGAAATGTTCTTGAGATTATCTTTCATGATTTTGAGGTAATATATTCTTTTAGTATTATTTAAATGCATCATTTTATGCAACATTTTTTATAATTTATTTATTGAATTACTCATTCTGCAATGTTTTAGGGAGGTCGAATTACTGGCATAATTCGACCTGTCAATATCCAAAAAATCATCGGTAATATTGAAGAAGGTGGCGCTTATATCTTGACAAACTATCAAGTGGAAAGCAATATTGGTATCCATAAATTGACGATAGGAAAAAAGGAGGATCATTATCAATGACCAAACCAAATTATCAAATGGAGGGGTGATTTTTCCTATTTCTAACTTTAATGGATGTTCGTAACATTGATGAAGTCATGTTGTTTGGTACGTTATAATTTTTTTGTTTATTTCTTATTTCAATTTTTTTTAATTTAAAATCTATAATAAACTATTTTATATGTTTTACATTTCAATATGATGCATTTTCTTATATTTTTGTAGATGTTATTGGATTGATTGTTTCCCATTATGTTTTCTTATGCCATTACTATAAATAAGAGCCAAAAACAATCATTATCGCATGTGTGTTTATTTTTCAATAAACCAGTGTTTAGTCATGGCCAATTGTATGTTGCTGTCTCCCGTGTCACAAACAGAAATGGGTTTGAAAGTCCTAATTTGTGGCGACGATGACGTGCCAAAGAATCAAACCATGAACCTTGTATATAAGGAAATGTTCAAGAATATACAGATTTTATTATCATTGTATTTATTAATTTATTTATTATTAATGGCATGATCTTTCCTTTAGTAAGTACTTTGAATTTTAACTGAACATTGATTATAAAAGGGACGGAGATAATAAACTCCGTGCATCACACGGGACTGTACTAGTATGCTTAACAAACATAACATAAACTATCACCCTTGCAGAACAACTATGATCTCTAATAACTGAAAATGCTCCCGTTCTCTTTTTAACGCTCCCTTATCTTCCAATTAAAAATTAGATTTTGGGCTCAAATATGCAAAATGAAACCAATTAGACAATAGCACCACTGATCCATAGCCCACCAAGAAAAAGCCATGGTATCAATATAATTCAATATCCAAAAGATAAGGAAAGGCAAGCCCAATCCATTATGTTTTGTTTCTCTGTTCTAAAGATCTCTCATTTTTCAGCAGTCCCTCCTTCACTCCAGGGTCACCATTCTTCCGCTATTAGGAAAGAGAGAACAAGACCAGGATATACACGTTCTTTATTCATTTAATGCCATGTTTTCATAGAATTATTTGCGGAAATGTATAAGGCCAGCAGATTAGCGGCAACAGTTAGCTGTGGAGGTAACCCTTTTCATACCAGGGCATGTTTTTTTCATTGCACCCCTGTTTTGGAGCGCAAAAGGCGTACCCACTGGGATTCTGTAAGCACCAATTGCTTTTTTAATTAGGTTTAATGGAGGGAATTTCGTTCGTTTGTTTCCTTCATAGGTCAATATACCAGCTTTTATGTCATAAAAGGTTAAAAACGCGAAATTTAGCAGGCAAGAAGGCCCCTTTTGCTCTTTGTTAGTGTTGAGCTGAGAATATTTATGCTTTTCGTTGAATCACTTGAATTTTATTGATTGTTTGAGTGGGAAATAAAATGGGTTAGGTGATCTTAGGATTTATATTGCTCTATCCTGTACTTTTTTGTGTTTTGGGCCCTATTGACTTATTGCCAATTGATGCAAACTCAGTATAGTGATGGTTTTTTTTCTGGCTTGTGACTATGTCTCATGATTGGATGGAAGAGTTAGAGCTTACTTCACGATAATGATTGCAAAGATTTGAGCTTTTTGTGGAAATAAAATGAGAGTTGCTTATATCAGCGAAACTTTAAAGAAATTGGGAGAAGATAAAAAATTTTGAGGTGTTTGTGTGAGTGAGTGGGGGATTTCNGCAGGCAAGTTCTTTTAAGAGTTCCCCAAGGGTGAGCTCTCTCTATCTCTATGCTCTCCCACATGGCCACACACACATACATATAGATATGTGTGCATGTTTATGTGGTTTGTGTTTTTCTTTTTTCTTTTCTATTTTCATTTGATTATTATATGTTGGTGCTCCAATAATGGAAAAGAAACCAATGAATGTTGCGGGATGAGTAAAAGTTCAGTTAAGGTATCAGTACACACTAGTTTAGCGCCATGTTTGTATGTTGAAATCTCTGGGATCTCATAGAGCATAACTTGTGAACCGAAGGAAAGATTAGTAGCTCAACGTACATAAGAAATAGAAACTGAATAGCATCGGGGTTGATAAAGTACTAGCAATTTAGTTCTTGAAGCATGGCTAGTGTATTATGCTTTTGCAAAACCTTAGTGCTAGTTATCAACTTGTGCTTTCCCAAAGGTATTGTTGGTATCTCAACTAGAACTGTAATACTTGCAAGTATGTGTAATGAATCAAATCTTCTGTTTATGTGAAACTTTTAATTGCAGAAATTTAACGAGTATCGCAAGAGGCTCAGGAAACAGAGTTTGTTGCGCAATGTCGGTGAATTTGCAGAGCGCCTATTTGAGGTTGTATAGAGAAAATAATGTCGTTTTGGTTTCCTAACGATTTTTATATTACGGGTAATCTATAGTTCAACAGTTTTTACACATTTTCTGGGGATTCGAGGACGATCACAAGAATTTGATCAATTGAATCAGTAGAGGGACCGTCAGATAAATAAGAAAGTCTCTCTCCTCTCTCTCTCTATATAGTATATATACCTGCATCAGACAATTAGTGGTTATATAACTTATTGCAAAATTTGCTTTAGTCATGAACTTATGTTCCGGATGAATTTTGTTTTGCTTTTTGTAGTTTTGTATTAGTCTGCTATGTATTTTGTCCTTTTGAGAAAAAGAATTCTAAGTGGTTTCGTGGTCATTTCTATATTCTCGAGGTTATAATTTTTTAAGAAAAGGATAAAAAGTTATTACAACTAAGAAAATTTTTCTCAAGATTATTGCTTTAGAGCTACCTGACAATTTTGATCTCTCTCTCTCTCTCTCTCTCTCTCTCTCTCATAATAAAATTCTCCGAGGCAGAGCTCGCGGTCAGATACAGATGAGTTTGATCCAACTTCTGATCGAGGGAGTTCATGGTTCAGACCAAATTTCAAGGAAAATGGATCTAAAAAGGGCAAGTCTAGATATAGGACTTCACAGGCATTCACAAGTACGTTTTTCGCTCCCTGTCCTAATGCGGACTTCTTCAGTCTTTGAAACTTCTCATGTCACCTTTACAGTCCATAATCCAGAGCACAAT